TTTTTTTTTTCTTTCCACAGGATTAGATTTCTTTCCTTTCTTATCAGGAGACAATCAGGTATGTTAATGTGAAAATAATCTACTTCTTTAATTGTATATTAAAATATCTAAAAGTATAATACATAGCCAGAAGAAAGAATGAATTTCCTTAGAAAATACAGTGCATGTGCCCAGGGTTGCTCTAGCTGTAAGAATTTAAATAAAAGCATCGTTCATCGCCCTCCACCCTCAGTTCAGGGTAAAGGCAGTGACTGCCTGTTGATTTCTCAGTACTGTTGTATAAAGACACAGGGGAGTGAGCCGTGTGACGGATGTATGAGAATGTCCTGGTGCCCAGGACATCATAGCTGCTGTATATAGCCTGTGGTGCCACTGCATTGCCAGTGGTGTGTTTGGTAGAGTCGCACGCAGGCTGTGAGTACTAGCTGTTGCGAGCACAGATGTATTGACTTTCAGGTACACAGTATGCCATGCTTGGTTCTAGCTCGGTCTGCTCTATTCGTCTCAGTCCCGACATGTACAAAATGAGTTACTGAAAGGCCATATCTAATGACCTGGATACAAAACTAAAAGTGATGAAGGAGTGTGGAAGGAAACAGTCAGTGATTCTTACCCACCAGTCAGGCTGTCCTGTTGCACCAGAGCTACAGACTTGAAAAGCAAGAACAAAATGGAAGAAGTCTCATCAGAAACAGTGAGACAGACACAGATTGAAAAAGCCCTGCTTCAGCCATAGAGAAGTGGCTACGGACATGGACTAAGGACAGACACAGAAGCTCCTCCCTCTTGGTTCTGTAGCTGTCACTGTCAAAGCAGTGACCCGACCTCTGTCCAGAATGCCCTCCTGGGTTTCATGCCAGGAAGCTAAGAGCACTGATTGAAGAATAGCAAACTTTGTAAGAAGCTGTGCTTTGGGGACGGTGCTCATACGCATCCTCGTTGTGCCAGTCAGGGTGGTGGTGTTCCAACAGATGACTCTTGACCCAACCAATAGAGATAAGTCAAGGAGATTTTTTTAGGGTTTCATACATGAGTATACTTTATTTACATTATTTCCATCCGTCCCTTTCCCTCCTCAGCTCCTCCTATGGCCCTGTATATATTTTTCTAATTTTTGTATGACTATTGCATGCATGGTGTCGCTTGGTGTAACATAGCACGTGTTTGGAAGTCGAAGGACAGCTGTGTGGAGTCAGTTCTCTCCACCTCTGTATGCGATCCACCCACTGAACTCAAGTACTTGAGCTACACACCAAGCTCCTTTATCTGCTGAGCCACCATGCTGGCTGATCAAAGAGATTTAGTGGCCTTTGGGACCCACTGCCCAAGTAGGACCTTTGTCCAAGCTACACTGCTACAGGGACACTGAGGAGTCCACAGACATGAACCCCTCAGATGCTTGAGACCATGGCATCAGAGAAGGGCGTGCTTGTGAGGAGTACACAGACAGCAGCAGCCCCCTCAGATGCTTGGAAACAAAGACATCAGAAAAGGGCGTGCTTGTGCACTGTTCACAGCTGCATCTCAGATGGAAAGGGACAAACCAAGAAAAGCACCACAGCATGGTTCTGAAGAATGGGCACCTGCTCAGGATTAACCCTAGTAGGTCATCAAGGACCCAGAAGCAGCATTGTCCCTGTCCTGAAAACCTTCCCGGAAACAAGATGTGGCTAGTAGACTGATTCTAACCCCTCCCTGGCCTGTGTAGACCTGAGGGGATGGGGCTGATGAATTTGTCTTTTTTAGCAAAATACATAACTATATCTCATAGGGTATAGATAGGAAGAAAGGAACTTTCTGCATAGCCGTATGGTATATTCATATTTTAAGTGTTATAAAGAATAGTCAGAAGGTAAAGACTTGTAGGCAGTTAATGGTTAATGGGGAGACATTGTTTTCAGTGGTATAGCCACTGGTACGCTGTCTGTGCTCTGTAAGCAGCACGCATTGGAACACACACATTCCAAGTAGACTGGGAAAAAGAAAGATCAGCTAGAGGGAGAGGGAACCCGAGGAAGTAGTAGAAGCAGTTATGATCACAAAACATTGTCATGTGAAAGTATTAGAACTCGTGGTTTAAAGCAAAGTAAAATTGTTAGGTAACTGGTTAATTAAAGAGAGAGAGCTTTGGGATTTTTCTTAAATAAGTGTAGAATGGCCTAAGCATAGAGTGCTGGGGACGCCCACAGAGTGCACAGATCCGTCCTCAGCCTGCCTTCACAGCCACTCAGCAGCAGTCCCTGACCCACAGAGACCCTGAGGGGGCCTACGAAGGTGGGACATGGCTTGTTTTTTCACCTGCAGTGCTGAGAGCAGAGACAGGCTGCAGAGCAGCAAGCCTGGGCATGGGAGCAGCTGAGCATCTGTGGTACGGTGCTCAGGCTGGACTTGCCATTGGAAATGTGGGATGTGCCCTTCCTACTGCTTCTGAACACGGAGTACAAACTAAAACACACACATGCACACACAGTCAGAAGGGTTATTCCAGTTTCAGATACCGTGCCGAAGCACTCTCAGTAATAGTGGCCAGTCGTTTCCTACAGAATGTGTTGTCACTTGAGGGGCCTTGCTCTGCTGAGAAGAGCACACAGAGGTGCGTCTGATGATAACGGAGTGTCTTGTCTCTGGTCCCTCCTAGCATTACAACACCTCCCTGCTGGCCGCAGCAGCGGCGGCGGTCTCCGATGACCAGGACCTCCTGCACTCCTCCCGATTTTTCCCGTATACCTCCTCGCAGATGTTTCTTGATCAACTAAGTGCAGGAGGAAGCACTTCTCTGCCAGCTACCAACGGAAGCAGTAGTGGCAGCAACAGCAGCCTTGTGTCTTCCAACAGTCTGAGGGAGAGCCACGGCCATGGGGTGGCCAGCAGGAGCAGCACAGACACGGCGTCCATCTTTGGCATCATACCAGACATTATCTCATTGGACTGACGCCCTCACCCTGCTGCTTCCACCCCATCCCAGATTAAATGACTTGGCAGAAGAGAACTCTATGCTCTGTTTTACCTTATCCTGTTTAGAAAAGTATACAAGCGTGGTTTTTTTTTCCTTTTTTTTAGGGAAAAAAAATTAAAAGAAATGTACAGAGAACAAAACTATATTTTCAGTTTTACTTTTGTATATAAATCTAAGACTGCCTGTCTGATAAAACACTTGTTTAAAAAAAAAAAAAACAAAAGAAAAAAAAGAAAAGAAAAAGAAAAGAAAAAAAACAAGCACCCACAAACCTTCAGTTCATTTCTTCTGGATTCTCAAGACTTTTCACCGTTTGTCCTATGGTTTGGGTTTTATTTTACTTCAATGGCATTATCTTTCTTGCAATAATGGAAACAATTGCATGTATGAGGTTTAAATTGTGGGCTTTGTTGTGGGGAAGGGGTTGGGATAGCTTTGATTTCCATTTTTTTAAAGTGACAGACTTGGATTCTGTTTGTGTGTGCGTGGGTTTTACCAGCCTTAAGTTATGAACCTTGTCTATCTTACTGCATCCCCTTTGTCTTCAGGACAGAGCTCGTGTGTTTGTGTATGTGTGTGTGTGTGTGTGTGTGTGTGTATCCGTGTATGTATGCGTGAGCGCCTGTGCACCTGTGTGTACTGTTCTGTCGCCACTGCCCCCTCCTCCTCAGTAGTTTGCATTTGGTTAATATCAGTTCCCTGCTTCTTTCAAAATGCTTCAGAGGTCTTGAACTCTTGTGTGAGCATTTTTCTCAACTCTCCCCAGGTGCATGTTCTCCATCACAGATCCTCTGGGATCTGCTGTCTACCCTCTACGAGTGTGTTTCCCAGAAGTGCTGGAGCAAAGGCCGCCTGGATAAGCAGTCTGTGGGCAGGCCCTCGACTGACAATACACTTTTGTTGATTCTAAATCTGAATTGCCAGTGTTCTGTATGTAAGCCAAGGCTGTGAGCTGAGCGCCTGCATTTTGGCCACAGGGTAACAAGTTTTCCTTGAGGATCTTCATACCAAAATGGGATGTGAAAGAACTCTCGTACCCCTATGGGGTGTGGAATGCCATTTGCACCTGGCAGAGGACAGACGTTCCATTCCACTGAAAGAAAAGAAGGAAGGAAGGAAGGAAGGAAGGAAGGAAGGAAGGAAGGAAGGAAGGAAGGAAGGAAGGAAGGAAGGAAGGAAGTTTCCCTAAAGTTAACAGCACAGCGCAGCCCACATGTGCATCCAAAGCAAATCTGTTGGATAAACAGCTGAAACTCAAAAATAACCTTAGTTAGTTTGGTTGTCTTGCTCTGAGTATACTTTCTTTCTTAGCCGTGTTCTTTTTTCCTTCACCTTTTAGTGGCAAGCATGACATAGGAAGCCTTTTTTTTTTTTTTTTAATTCAAGAGTCAGTTGGCCTTACCTACTCTCAATAGCAGAATATGTAAATATATTAAAATTTGTTTCAGGAGATAAGTAAGGGTCAAAGGAAGGAAAAAGTGCTTCTCATCCTTCAGAGTCAGCAAAGAAGAAAGTGTGCTCTTACAGTGGGAGGTGGTGGCCGTTGACGGAGGGTGCGGGCTTAGCTACAGCGAGCAGGGGCACGCCAGCCCCTCTGCCTGCACTGGCTTTTTATGTTACACCTTTGTGTTCTCAGAGTTGGAGAAGGGCCATCTTTGTGTATAGTAAATTTGTTTTCAAGCCTTGCATCAGTAACAGAAGGGTCGATACTAATCCAGGTAGAAGAAGTCAAGACGGCTGTGTCTTCAGTTGTAAGATAAAAGCAAGTGGTTCCGGTGACAGTGTGGCATCTAAAAACAATAATCTGTTTTATAGTGTCTCTCTGCTACTAAAATATCGACTTGAAGTTTTAAAAAAAAGTTGGTGTTGATATGTATATGTGTGTGTGTGTATACATGTATTTATAAACAAGTGTGTGTGAATAACATCGTCGTCTTCCCCTACGCATGTGTGTTCCACACAGAAACGAACGGCTGTGCTAGAGTCACAAAACAATTCGCAATAAAACAAGACATTTGTTGTCAGTTCAAACCAGAAATAGTTATATTTTTAAATTCATCTGGTGTTGTGAGTAAACGTTCTACCATCTCTCATTCCTGTATTAATTTAGACTCGTTTCAGATACCATAATTTCTATCTAAATTGGGATTAGAGTGGGAATCACTAAAATTTTGAGGTGTTTCTGTTAACATAGCAATAGGAAATGTTTTTATTACTTTAAGATAAAAAGAATAGTTTTCTTTGTTCTTGTTTTCATTTGGGTGTTTTTGGTTTGGTTTGATTTTGGTAACTGTTGTCAGTTTTAGGGTATTGATCCATAGTTTTTTGTGTCTGATGCTGAATTACAAACTTAGAGCAACCCAGTTTAAACCAGCTCTCTGTGTTCTTCATGCCAGTAATAGAGGAGTCACTTCCCGTCTGTGTCCTAGGAGAGGGGCTTTGGTCATGTCCCCACGGGAGGGCAAGCCATTTGGTTGTCTGTATTTTGGTTCCTGCCACTTACTGAGGAGTTCACTTCTTCAGTGTTGACTTTCTAAAATGTTGCGTGTGGTCAGGTTCAGTCTTTCACAACCCTCAATAATTATTCGAGTCACCCACCACTTTATCTCCTACATCTAAAAGAAAAACCGCATGGTCACGTTGTCCCCTTTCTTTGTTGTTATTTTTCCTTAGCCCGCCCTCACTCCCCAGCCCTGCCAACCTTGATTGATAGGCTGTGAACAAATACTGTTCTCAGCATCTTCATTCAGCAGGTTGCCAGGAGCCCCTTCCTGAGTCTTTTACTAGCATGTACATGTGTGCTCTGTCCAGTACCGTGTGTGTGCTCCTGTCTGTCTGTAAGCACGCATCATCGAGAAAGTAGCCATTCAACCAGGAGGGTGGAGGCGGCTTTTAATTTACTATGTGGGCATTACTGAACACATTTTTTAAAACATGAAACTTAACCATGCATACTTTGTTGACCAGTTCATTTTGAGTATTAAAAGTTGTTCCATTGCTAATTTAGATGTTATACATCTACGTTACTGACTGAAAGAATCACTAACGTTTTGAAAAAGGTGGGTTCTTTTATTAGTGGTGGTGGTGGTATATTTTTTTGTTGTTTTTTGTTTTGTTTTGTTCTTTTTTTTTTTCGGCCAATTTTCCTTTGAGACAAGTCTGTGAAACGATTGAAAATATACCCCAATTGTAAATGACTAAATGTAGAAAGAACCTAGTTTTTAAAGCAATTTCAATTTTAAATACATGAAACGTTCAGAATCTTCAGGACTCTTAAAAGCACATTTGAATTTTATTTTGGTAAGAATTTTGTTTTGTGGATACACATTGAATTCTGTTTGTTTGTTTGTTTGTTTTTAATTAAACACAAAGTATAGATCTCATGGAGGGAGGGAGGGAGGGAGGGAGGGAGGGAGGGAGAGAAGCCGGTGGTCCCAGGGTGTGCTGCTGCTGCTGCTGTGTGAACAAAGGGGAAGATGTGTATAAACAGATACAGCTGACCATGAACTCCATGAACTTAAATCTGTGATTCATTGCCTTAAGACTTTCTCTCTTAGAATTTCCATACCGCATGCCAAACCAGTAAAATGGCTTTTAAAAAAAAAATGTATAGTAGACCAATGTCAGTTTGTATAAAAGTACCAAGTGAAAATATTTATTACATGCATTGGAGAAAAGTTGTTTCCCTGTTGAATGTTACCTGTTTCTGTAGAGCTCTTTAGATGTAATAAAAGAGAAGCCTTCAGTTAATCTGTGTTCTGTAAAATGCTGCTCCTGGGCCCACAAGGGGACAGTCCACATGAGGAAAGTACTGGTGTTCCATGCTCCCTGCGCCCCTGTCACCCACATGTTCCAAAGCATGACAAGTAACTGCTACCTTCCCATCATGCTTTGAGGCCTTTCCTTATTGGTATACAGCTCACCTTAAATTCTAAAGGTACTAGTTGTCTATCCGTTGTGCAAACACCACTCTATGGTGAGCAATTAGGTGCTAGGAAAACTTGTTGGAATTTGAGGAGTGCGTAAGAGGTGACCCTGAGACAGCAAAGCCATCCCTGATGCAGCTTCATAAACCAGACTTGAGCAGTGTGAGCTCAGCTTGTCACTGTGACTAGAGCAGCAGTGGGTGGGGAGGAGCAGCCCAGGCTATCCAGCAGCCCAGGCTGTGCAGATCACCTGCTAGCCATGTGCTCTTTTAGAGCTGCAGAGAAGATTCCACTTAGCTGAATAAGAGTCATAAATGTGCATTAAAACTGCACTGGAGGCTGGACGTCATGGTTCTCACCTTTAATCCCACCTCTGGGAGGCAGAGGCAGGTGAATATCTGAGATCAAGGCTAGCCTAGTCTGCAGAGCAAGTTCCAGGACAGCCAGGGCTACACAGAGAAACCCCATCTCAAAAAAGCCAAGAAAAACAAAAACACAAGCCCTACACTGGCAGGCTGGAGGTATTGGCAGAGTGCTTGTCTGTCATGCACAGAGCATTGTGAATCCCCAGTGTCAAAAGGCACAGTATATACCTGTCATCTCTGCACTGAGGAGCTGGAGGCAGGAGGATCAGAAGTTCAGGGGCATCCTCCACAAATTTGAGGTAAATTTGGGAATCATGAGATCCTGTCTTTTAAAAAAAAAAAAAAAAAAAGTCACTGGTAGACATGAGAACAGTATAAAGTGCCTCTAGTGCAAGGCCCAGCCTCTTCCCACCCTGCCCCGTGCACAGCATCACAGAAATTTAGATTCTAAAGCTGTGTCTGAGTCAGAGGTGCTGGGGTCTGGAGCCTTCCTACCCATCCAGGAACATACAACTGACTCTGGAGGTCTAGCCTCCCCCAGGACGACTTGCCATGGGAATTAGGAAGTTTTTGCTGTTTTTTGCCTGTACTTACTCTGGCTTCTTTTAGGCTCCCTAGAACGGCCCAGAGATTGTACAGTTTTATCTTCGTGTTTCCCAGACAGGCTCTTGCATTGTATCTCATGTTGGCCCCAAACCAACATCCTTTTTGAAGGGATATGCCACTATTCTCTAGCTTTTTGAGGTTTTTTTCTTTGTTTGTTTGTTTGTTTGTTTGGGGTTTTTTTGGTTGGTTGGTTGGTTGGTTGGTTGGTTGGTTGGTTGGTTTGGTTTGGTTTGGTTTTGGTTTTGGTTTTGGTTTTAGTTTTTGTATTAAAGAAATGTGCCAGGTTGCTAATAATCAGGCCACTCAGGGAAGACATAGTATCTACTCCCAGGAAGATTAGGCTCTCTCTCCTCTTCCGTTTGGTCTGAGCCATCCAGCATACGTGAGGTAGCTGAACCAAGGCTACCAGTGTTTAGTTCCCTGGAGTGTCTCCAGAGCCTAGCCCTTAGTAAGATGTGCGTCTGCTCTACTTCCCAAGAGACCCCTTTGTCTCCATCTGTCTTTCTGCTTCGCATACAGCACAAAGCCACTTGACACAAAGGAATGAAGGTCTTCACATTCAGAGCTCTGCACCCTACCTATGCTAGAGTGTCCTATGGGTACTCCTGGGTATCCTGGCTAGGACACTGCTTCCCACCATTGAACGAGCCTCAAATGGTAAGAGGCCACTTCAGGGCCTCTCAGATTCTGCCCATGAGCTGGTATATCTGCTTATTCTGTTAGTCCCAAGGGAATAGCTGGAAGTCATGATCACTGCAGGTCTCTTGAGCAGACCATCCCCGTTTCTTTAACCTAACAATGGCCCTGGGCACAGCTTCAGCAAACTGCCAGGAGCATCAGAAAGGCATGCTTGACTCTGCAAGGTCTCCCATTTCCTTTGGTGTGGGATGATATAAAGTTGGATCTCCCCACTGCTTAGCAGACCCTACACTCTTCTAATGTTTGTCTCCACTTTATATATCTTTATGAAAAAGCATCCTGCACTTGGTCTGGCTAGCGAGATGGAAATGAGGATTTATCAGTGGGATTGTAGAAACAAAAACAAAACAAAAGATGAAACTCCAGAAAGGAAAAGAAATGGGTGTGGCTGTGTGCATGTGCTATGCTCATTGTCTCTTGTGTGTGTGCATGCGCTGTATGCTTCTTCTATGTCTGTGTACACACTACTTATTGCCGTATGTCTGTGCTCTATGCTTGTTGCTCTGTATGTGTGTGCAAGCGTGTGTATGCGTGTACATGCACTCCGTGCTTGTCGCCTGTTCCCAGCCAAACCTTGGCTTATCTTAGAAATGTCGAAGCTAGTTCTCCCACCTCAAAGCAGACTGGTCTTCTGGCAGACTGTTCTTTCAGAGAAACACTGCCATGGAAACACCAATTCCACATGCTCTCAAGTTGCCAAACATTTATTTTCAAGTCAAAATCTTCATCCTTGTGAGGTCCTTTGGAGAAGTTCAGTGGGTGAGGGTGAGGGTGATGACGTTGCAGAGCCAGCACTGGCCCACAACCCTGACTACAAATCATAGGCCTTTCCATGCTGCAAAGGGCTAGATTAATGTTAGTATCAAAATCAAGACAGACCTCTTATTACAGACATCCAGTGCCATGGCGACATCATTTATTGGTACTTATCCCCTGCAGTGGTTGTGCCACGTGATCTTGTTGCTTTGTTTGCCAACTCTAGACTTCCCTTACAAGAAGGAATCAGTCTAGATTCTCAGGCCCCAGAGGCTCTCATCCCTTAGTTCCCTCAGTAGTCTCGTACAGGGAGGGTGATCCTCTGGATAAATGTGTCATATTTCACTTGGCCGTTTGGTTCGACGCCCGCTTCCTTGAAAAGATCGTCCACTGCAATAAATCACATTAGTTTTTCAGTTCGGACTTGCTGAGGTTAAGGGTCTCCAGAAGGCTTCCCTGAGAATCAGATGGACTGGGGTGGGGTGCAAGCCAAAATGGGAGGATAACCTGCATATAAGAACCCAGAACTCTTCCTTTCTGCAGGGCCCAGGATATGAGCACAGAGGACATTGGTCCTCAGTCACTGGGGACACCCTGTACTTGATTTTATTTATTAGGAGGGTATTGTGCATACCACATGTGTGGAGGTCAGAGGGACAGCTTGTGGGAGTCAGCTCTCTCCTTCC